CTTACCGGAAACACACACCTCCATCTTTGATGCACTACACCTGAACCCATTGAGCGTCCCATACGCTCATATAGCAACCTAGTGAGCAAAACAAATATCACACTTGTTTTCTATTTCTATCAAGTAAAGGGTTATTTTAGTTTGGTTGCATAGTTTTGGTTAATTATCTGGAGATTAACAGGAGACAGTTTCAGTCCCAATGGATTTTTTAAAATCAAATCTAAGGTTACTAAATTAATACATAACAAATGCCATAAATTTATGATATTAAAACAATATCAATAGATGTGAAATTCATTTAAAGCATTAAATAATCCCCCCCACACACCCCCGGCCCACCTGAAATATCACACATCCTTCATCTCATATCTAGAGCCAGGGCTGCGCAGTCTGAATTTGCACTCCACATAGATAAACAGCATTACCGGTGAGACTGATCCGAGCTCTCTCTTGTACATAGTGAATATTTTGGACTCAGAGAGGCTTAACACACGCATACACACACTTTCACGCTATTGAACTGTATGGGACTGACTGATTTTGGGCATGCTGTTTTGTTTGTATCATATGTAATAATACACCTTGGCTTAAATACAGTTTGTGTTGTCTGTAAATTTTCCTCTTTTATTTCGCTCATTCATTCAAGAAGATCAGGTTCCCTTTTTATTTGTGTAACTTTCACACTTTGCTGGGAACTGTTACAAACATACTACAGACACAAAACAATAACAGATCTCGAATCAACATGTTTCAACGATGACTATTAGTCATCAGAAATATATTAGAAATCATTAGAAATATAAACTGAACGAGCAAGCAGTAGTCACTGCTGGAGCAAATAAACAAATCATGATGACTACAGCTTGTGTGCCCCAGATCAAGCATAAACTTCTCTGGATAGTGTGTACTTGACAGTCACAGCTGCCAGACCTACTTCACCTTTTTATATGACATATAATACAACTTTAATACCATTTAAAATGTAATTTTCTTCTTATTTGCTCATTATTTCATTTAGTGCCTTGCCTTATAATGTTTTCCCTTACGAAAAAGAAGTTTATTCAAGTGTGCTATTAGTATACTTCTTTTAAACTAAAAATAGGAAAGTATACTTTTAGTCTACTTTGTATGTACTTCTCAGAAATGGGCTTTATGTACTTCTCAGAAATATACTTAAAATGACATTTAAGTATACTTGACATACTTAGAAAAAGTCTAAATATATTTGAGCTATACTTGTGTTCCTAGAATCCGTGTTTTCATTGTTATACTGTAGGGGGCGCTAGTACACATCTTCTGTACAGAATTTCCAAAAAACACAAGTGAAGAAGAAACCGAAACAACCAATAGTATGTTCCTGCACAACCGGAGGCTGCAGTTTCAGGACCGCAGTTCTAGGACCCTATTCTTTTGTAACAGCGCCACCTACCGAATTGGATAATATAGCGGAGGCTGCAGTTTCAGGACCGCATTTCTAGGACCCTCGTGGTTTAATTTGTAGTAATGTTTGTACATGTTGTTAAAGATATTGAATCTCAGGAACATTTTTTTTATTTCAATTGTGATTTTTCATTTATAAATGCATCCGATGTTAATTACAAAGTGTGCAATACCTGCTTTGAGTTAACGATTTTAAATTTAAATGAATTTACACTTAAAATATAAATGAAACATTTATTTCAGTCTTTAAACAACTGAAAAAGTGGAGTACCTTAAGTCTTAGTTTCTTGAAATATACTGTATATTGATTAGCCCCCTTAAGTTTAACTAGCTCATTATCAGGTATAATAAATATGGAATCAAATGAAATCAGCATTTGCTGTCACTAAATTACAGCCAGATATTTAAAAGTTTGTAGAGAGATGATGTAAAGTTCACTTAAAGAAAACTTACGAGTATACTTGCAGTATAAAACTACTAAACTAGTAGTTTACTGAGACTATACTTCAAAGTGTACTAAAAATGCTACTAGAAGTATTTAATTAGAAAACTATCAGTATTCATATAAGTTCACTTTTAGTATAGTTGCAGTACAAACTAAACATTTTGATGTAAACTAGTTGTGTACTCAAAGTTTATTACTGTTATACTTAAAAGTATACTTTTATATACTAGAAAGTGGGCCAATTTAGTCCCAAGGAGTATTGAAATAGTACACTTACAAGTATACTACTAGTACACTGATATTTGTATACTTACTACATAAAGTGTACTTAAAAATATACTTGAACTTTACTTAAGTATACTTACTAAAATAAACTTGAAAATATACTACTTTTTGGTAAGGGTTGGTTTGAAGCTTAATATAACTTTTTTTTGTGTGAAAAACAACAACTATAAAATCTGTTAAAATATATATTTACTTATTGAAAAGAAAAGAAAAAAAAGACCCTAATCACCTGATTTCAGAAACACTGTTGAAGTGTTATGAAGCGTCAAGGTCTATTTATGGGTCAAAAAAAAAAACACATTTAAAACGTGACTGTGGTTCAGAACCCTGCCTAACCACAAACATGGAGAGAAAAAAAAATCCTCAAAATTGTGTGTTATGAGAATTTACTTTATTTATCAGCTCCACTGCCTAACAGACGAATCTCACTGGTATGTATAATATATCTCTCAATATAAAGTGTACATTTTTATCATTAGATTTACAATGATCTACAGCAGGGGTTCTCAACTCTGGCCCTCGAGGCCCACTTTCCTGCAGAGTTTAGCTCCAACCCTAATCAAACACACCTGAACAAGCTCATCAAGTTCTTCAGGATTACTAGAAAGTTACTGGCAGGTAAGTTTGAACAAGGTTGGAGCTAAACTCTGCAGGAGAGTGGACCTCGAGGGCCAGAGTTGAGAACCCCTGATCTATTATAAATAAATAGAAGAGAATGTAACATTGTATGTTTTCTTTTCTTTTCTGTTTGCAGATCAAATATGGAATTGTCAGGTGAGTTTAAGTGTGGGGATGTCTGTCTATCCCGTCTTGTTTGACTTCAACAGGCACTTTGTAAAGGCAAGATATGACACCTTGTGAAAAACAAGTAGCCTACACTTTAGCAGACTTTTAACTTAATACAGTACTTAATACAGGAATATATATATACTTATAAAAATAAAAGTGTACTTAAAGTGCACTGCATTACTAAAGTAGGAACCTTGGACATGTGATTGATGTTCAGCTGAATTTCACAGACCAAATTGCTAGAACTGCCAGGTCCTGCAGATTTGCCTTATTCAACATTAGAAAGATCAGACCCTTTCTTTTGGAACATGCTACACAACTCCTTGTTCAAGCTCTTGTTCTGTACAGGCTGGACTATTGCAACACTCTCTTGGCAGGTCTTCCAGCCAGTTCTATCAAACCTCTGGAACTAATCCAGAATGCAGCAGTAAGATTAGACTTTAACGAGTCTTTAATAACCTCTGTTCATCAATTTGCACTGGCTACCAATAGCTGCTTGCATAAAATTCAAGGCATTGATGTTTGCCTAAAACAGCCACTGGCTCTGCACCCCTTTACCTATATTCACTACTTCAGATTTATGTACCGTCCAGAATCTTGCGTTCTGCAAGTGAACGGCACATTATAGTGCCATCCAAAAGAGGCACAAAATCACTTTCATGGACTTTTACCTTAACTGTTCCCTCCTGGTGGAATGACCTGCCCAACTTGATCTGAGCAGCTGAGTCTTTAGCCATCTTCAAGAAACGGCTAAAGACACTTCTCTTCCACCTTCATTTGAGCCCCTAAAACTAACACTCTCTATTCTAATTCTATTCTATGTTTTGTTTTATTTATATAAAAAAAACTTGACCCTCTTACACAAGCGTTCTTTATTCTTTTCCTATTACATCTGCTTGTTTTCTTTTGAATTATTATACAATAATAATAATAATAATAATAATAACCTGACCCTCTAACACTAGCTCTCTATATTCTAACTCTATTCTATCTACGTTTTATTATTTGTATTTATTATTTACATATTTTTGTTGGTTTGATTGTGTATATTGTCCTCATTGGTAAGTTTCTTTGGATAAAGGCATCTGTGAAATAATGTAATGTAATGTAATGAATGTGCTGATGAGCTTTCTAGTTAACTAAAATATATATTTAATGTAATTTAATTGAAACTTATATGTCATGTATATAATAAATACAGTATATTTGTAGTTACACATTTTTATTGTTGCAATATAATAAATATATTTGTAATATTTTTCAAATAATA